TTTTTTTTTTTTTTTAATATATTTTATTGATTTTTTACAGAGAGGACGGGAGAGGGATAGAGAGTTAGAAACATCGACGAGAGAGAAACATCGATCAGCTGCCTCCTGCACACTCCCCACTGGAGATGTGCCCGCAACCAAGGTATATGTCCTTGACCGGAATCGAACCCGGGACCCTTGAGTCCGCAGGCCGATGCTCTATCCACTGAGCCAAACCGGTTAGGGCAAACCTGTGTTTTCTATCAAAATTACTTCTTGGGTGAATTTTGGGACACCCTTTATATATATATATGAAACCAGAGTTTCATGGAACCATATTTACCCTTACTATGTGCCCTTCCTGTGTGTGGTGTACATGTACACTGCTGTTTTTTATTCTATTTTCCTTTATTTTAACTTTTAAAAATGCTGTTTGCAACGCACTACATTGATTTCATAGCTCACTAATGAGTGACAACTCGTGTGCTGACCCTGGCTAAGGAGAATGGGTGTTCTTCCTCCAGGAAGTCCTCTGTCTCTAGCACCAGATCCTGCTGCCTTTCAAGACCCAGATAGCCTTTCAGGGGTAACGGAGCACCTTCCTGCACTTGATGGCATTGACTCTAATGAGGAGCATCCTGATTGATGCTCGGAGGACTCCTGTTTTAGGGGGAGGAACCTGCGGTTCAAAGAGGCCATGACTGGCCCCACCTCATTCAATCACAGTCAGAGGTGAAGCTATGACTCACACCCAGGTCCATCTCATTCCAGAGCCCACATTTTCCCCAACATGCCTTGCTGCCTCCCCCATTGACTAGTTCCAAATCCAGGCCTGGGCTTAGTCCACAAACTATAGGCTCCTGTTTCAGGGGCTGCTAGCTTCTCCAGTGTGGCTCTAATCCCATTGCAAGGCAATGCGCCTTGATTAAGCCGTACAGAGAGGGGAATACGGCATGGCCTTCCCCTCCAGCTGCAAGCCCTCAATACAGGTGGACCTGTATACAGCCAAGCATGCGATGAGGCAGACCATGTTATTAATACAGATGCTGCAGAGTGCATCAGAGCATAGTGGGAGGAGTCTGGAAAGGCTTCGTGAAGGAAGCCACACTTAAGCTGCGCTTCAAAGGGTTTCAATATGGTTTCACAACGAAGGGAGAAAGGAAGAGGCAAGCATTACACACCAAGGAAATAACCTAAGCAGAGACTTGAGGACATAAAAATTGGAGGATGAAGGACATGAACTCATTTACATAGCAGGGTTTTTCAACATTATGTCTACTGTAGACTCTGAGTTGCCTAGTCTTAGGAGGTAGTGTGGGTGTTGTGGAAGTTTGGGGGGCATTGGGAGAAGAGTGAGCAACACTCTAAGGTCTGAGAAGGCTCAGCAGCCAGGCCCCAGGTCCTCTGGGAGCCTAAGCACTCCATCTCCTGCCTTATATAATAGGGTCTCAGGCTGGAAGCCCTTGACCTATTACAGGTATCCAGGACTTGACTTGAGTCTCTTCCTGGCTCCACAGGAGATTCCGTCATCCAGAATGCATCCAACAGTGGTGTGGGGCAAGCAGTCATCCAGATCGCCGCAGCCCTGGGCCTGAGGACCATCAATGTGGTCCGAGACAGGTGCGTGGGGAGCCGGTATTCCAGATCCTGACTGCGTGTCGCATCCCTGCGTGCCCACCAGATGGCGCCCTTGTATAAGCGGGCCTCCTCTCTGGGCAGGAGGCAGCTTACTCACGGACGGGTGTCAGCCTTGAGAAATTAAGTCCAGGTGGCTTTTGGCTATAGGATGAGTGAGTCTTTGAAATATGAAGGGAAGACAGGAAGGAGGTGGAGACGGCCACTAGGAGTATTTGAAACTGGACTTGTGATAACGTGTGGTTTTTTCAAAACCAGTGTTCATATTTGGGGATGTTTTAAGCTGGGTTATTTTTTCTGTGAACCGTCTAACCCAGGGCCCTTTTTCCCCCTTGTATTTGTGTGGTACTTTGAAGTGCATTAAAAGATTGAAGGAGATGAGCAGGTTTGCTATCTCTGGTTCACAGATGAAACAGTTTCGGAGAGAGGAGGCAACTTGCTCAGGGAGTCACAGCAAGTCGGTAGCAGACTTCATTTCCCGGCTTGTTCTCTTTCCCTCATAGCATCGTTTCCTTGAGCCTCACTGTCCACGAGTGTGGCCGTGTCTGTCAGAAGCCCAGTCTTACTAGGATAATTGACTCTCCCTTCAGTTCTCTATCCCCTCGGTTGTGCTAACAAAAATCATCGTTTGCCTTGGCCAAGGAGTCCCTGAGCCACTCCTGGGCTGGAGTTTGTTTGCACAACACTCAAGAGCCCCTTGAAAAGAGGGGGGAGGGGGGCAGAAAGGAAGTGGAGTTTGTTGTGTCCGTAGAAGAAATCAGGAAGTGAAATGCCTTTTCCCTGGCACAGATGGTTTCCAGCATCCCTGAGCTGGCAGGAGCTGTAGAAACCACCCAGCCCAGCTCTCTCATGCCAGGGAGGAAACTGAGGCCAAGAGACGCGGGAGTACGATGAAACTGCATGGTCAGGCCCTGCTCAAGGCCTGGCTTAAACCCGATCCCAGCTTCCCGCAAAGAAACACGCTGTCGCAGCTGTGGCCGAGCAGTCCCGGGAGCCTTTGGTGGAGAAAGTGAGCCGATGTGACCGAGGTTCGTGTTTGGTTTCCAGACCTGACCTCCAGAAGCTGACCGACAGACTGAAGAACCTGGGGGCCGAGCATGTGATCACAGAAGAGGAGCTGAGGACACATGAGATGAAAAACGTCTTTAAGGTACCTAGGATGAGGGACGCTGCGCCTCCATTCATGCTGGCCCCCCTGAAGAAAGCGGACTTGAACTTGAAAAGCTGGGGCCTGGCTCCATTGTTCCTCTTCACATCTTCCCTTGGCTCTTTGTGGAGGATAAAGCCCATCCCTCCACCAGGGGGCGGCATGCAGTAAGCGCCCAGGTGCTGCGAGGGAGGCGGGAGACCTGTGGTTTGCAGTTTTGAGTATGTGTGATGGGCCACATCAGTCCTCACAACCCATGTGAATCTCAGCGCTGGGAGAGGAGCTGAGGAAACTGAGGCACAGAGAGGAAAGAGAAAGAAAAGAAGCAACATTTCCTGGGTACCTACCTTGCATTTTATCAGAGAATCCCACAAAAGCTCCACAAAGTAGGTGCTATCTATTTTATAGACGAGGAAACCCAGACTCAGGAAAGATAAAGGATTTGACCAAGAGCACACAGTCTTAAGTGGTGGAGGCAGGGCTGGCCCCAGTCTCTCTGAACTCCTAGCCTCAGAACCTTCCAGAACCTCCACCCCTAGCACGCCTAGTAAGTGACCAAACCACATCTCAGCCTCTTTTCACTGAACTCTGGAGCGACCAAACACACACACACTCCTCAAGAACACACCCTCTGGACAACATTTCTGAAGCAGTAGGTCTAACATAAACTGAGTTCAAAGTCCCAGAAGGGGCGCACATGGCGAAAGGAAGTCCTTGGAAATGGGTTGTAGATACCCTCAATGTATTCTTTCCCAGAGGTGGGCTCTGAATGAAATCCTCACACAGAGAACAGGACGAGGCTGGTAAAGAAAAGGCCATTCCAGGCAGGAAAAAAAGAGTTGTAAGGCAAGAACATCCCGTTTTCTTCACTCCCTCCTGACACATGGGCCTGGGAAATGCTGTTCGTAGCAGCTTCAAGCCCCACATGTAGAGTGGTAGCTCCCTCACCGCAGGTTCCTTATCTTCCAGGACATGCCTCAGCCACGGCTCGCTCTCAACTGTGTCGGCGGGAAAAGCTCCACAGAGCTGCTGCGGCACTTAGCGTAAGTCCCTCGGCCCTGCAGGTCCAGATCGCTGGCGCTCCCGCGTCTTGAGCTGGGAGGACCCTCAGGTGAACAGCCCCGAGGCCAAGGCAAGCCGAGCCGAGGCAGGTCAGCAGGGGCCTGAGTAGGAAACTGGGGCCAAAGTTAAGTCCTACCTAGGTCTCTGGGCACTTCCTCTCTCAGCCGCCTTCATCACAGGTGACTGAGCCCATCCAGCTGTGCTTTCCCAAGGGACCCGCTTTGTTCGTCTCTGAGAGGGGAATGGTTAAGGATTCACAACCTAAGGGCATCTTAAAAAGTCACGTAGTCCTAGCTTATTAGCTTTTAAATTTTTTATTAGCTTTTAAAAATAGATTCTAATTTTAGAGGTAGCATGATGCGTGTTACAAAACATTTTGAAAGCCTATGAAAGTACAAAGGAGAACTGGAAGAGCAGAGGTTTTCTCTCATCCCACCGCTGAGGGGGATGCGCACCGTGGACAGTTAACAGTGCATGTCCTCCCATTCTTTTCCCTTTCATAGGAACTCCTCTGGAGTGTGCCTGAAAGGTCCCTTCCCAGCTGAGGCAGGAATCCCCTAAACTAGTAGTTAACACGTATTTGCTAGCCCTCACTAGCGCCGGGGTATGGAGATGGCTAGAACTCACGGGCTAGATGGGTCATGTGATCAAAGAGCTGTGAAAACAATGGGAGTTCACCATGCACTGAACTCTGTGCAGGAGCTTGAAGGAACCCTCCCACAGCCACCTAGGCCAGGGGTACTAATCCCATCCTGTTTGTACAAGGCCCAGAGAGGGTAGTCACCTGCCCCAGGTCTAGGAAGCAGCAGAGCCAGGCTCAGCCCTACTCTGGGCACCCTCCAAGGCAAACTGCAATCCCATGCCACTCGTTATAGGAGGAAGTTGGCGATCTGGACCAATGTCAATGCCATGCCCACAGTTGCATGCCTATAAGTGGAGTGGAGCCATACTGAACTCAGGTCTTGAGCTCTTCTCAGGAGAGCATGCTTCTTTGCAGCAGCTCATCAGAGCCTGACTGGGTGGCTATATCAGTGGATTCCCATCCCTGCCTAAACACCCAGGTCATCTGGAGGGGGATAGGTCATTAGGTTGGGGGTGGGGCCTAGGAACCTGTATTTGGGGCCCTTCCCAGGGATTCTGAAAGCAAGGTTTAGGCTTTAGGGTTGGAATAGAAGCGCTGTGACAGCTTCCAGAAGGGCTCTGAATCTGCCTGCACCCATTCTGTTCTCTGACTTTTCAGACCTGGAGGAACCATGGTGACCTATGGAGGGATGGCCAAGCAGCCTGTCATCGCTTCTGTGGTAAGCTGGTGGTGGGGAGGGGGCGGCCTGGAGATGGGCCAGGCCCCACAGTTGTGTAAACTCAGGCAGTTTCCCTGTCCCTGGGATTCAGAGAATGTGTACCTTAAGGGGTATCTGAAGCTCTTGGCCTCAGAGCCCCAACATGTCCTTCTGTGTCCACAGAGCCAGCTCATTTTTAAGGATCTCAAACTTCGGGGCTTTTGGTTGTCCCAGTGGAAGAAGGACCATAGTCCAGGTGAGTACATGACGGCCCTTTGCCAGGGGTCACACAAGAGGGCAGTGCCTACTGCAGAAGTGGCCAGCCTGTCTGAGCCCTGGATGGGTGCTTAGACCCCAACCCTATGACAGGACAAAGGAGAACAGCCTCTAACTAAGCTACAGTGAGCAAATAGTTATTGGACTAAAGTGGGCTAGTTCTTGGGGGCATAACATTGAACAGGGCACACACCGCCCCCTTCCTTGAAGAGCCGGCGGTGGGGAAGACCGCCATGGGAGACGACCAAGTGAAGAAAACCAGTGCTGCAGCCAGCCTGCCTGGGTCCCGCCATTGCTGGTTGTAGGTTGCGCCTAGCCTCGCTGTGGGACCTGGACAAGTTACTCAGCCTCTGCTCAGTCTAAATGTCATAACAGTTTCAAGTATTATTAGCCCTGTTTGACAGAAAAGGAAACTGAGGCTCGGAGTGGTTAAGTCGCTTTCCCAAAGTCACCCCAGCGAGGGAGTGTGCAGCCAGGATGTGACCAGCTAGTGTCTCTGACTCCAGAACCCGAGCCGGGACACTGCTCTTCCTCTCCTGGAGGCCTGGTCCCCAGACAGGGACCCCCAGCTGGGCTGCTTTTCCTGAGCAAAGTTCATCAGTTCCACATCAGTAGTGCCAGGCACACCCACCTTCCTCCCTGCACCCCTTCTGGCTTCCCTGCCTGGAGGTAATCCTGCCCCTCCCACCATCAGACTCCAGGTTACACCCGAGTCAGGTTCTGTGGGTCTGAGCCACCACTCTGCCTGCCCGTCAGTTCCTGGGGCCACTCCCCATGTTCCTCTGTCCCCACCCTGGCTCTCCCTGACCTGAAAACAGGTGGAGATCAGGCAGCCTCCACAGCCGGCCTGTCTGTGGCCAAGCCCTGGGCTCTCAAAGACTTGCCTGGAGCTCAGCACCAGCAGAGGTGACGTGTGCCATCTCACCAGGCCCTGCTGCTGCTGCACCCCTGTCTGACTTCCTCCAACCTCCCACAGACCAGTTCAAGGAGCTGATCCTCACTCTGTGCGATCTCATCCACCGAGGCCAGCTCGCGGCTCCCGCCTGCTCCGAGGTCCCACTGCAGGACTACCAGTGTGCCTTGGAAACCTCCATGCAGCCCTTCTTGTCTACAAAACAGATTCTCACCATGTGATAATCCCAGAGGAGCCAGGGCGAAGTGGGAAGGGATGTGGATCAACAGGACTGGTTTGGGCCCCTTAGTGTGGGCCCTCAACCTTCCCGGCTGCCCCTCTCCTCACTGTCACTTCCCACTAGGAGAGCTGTGAAGCCAGCCAAGGCTTTCCCCAGGGCCGGCCTCGGGGTATCTAATAAAGTCTGAACTTCCTGAAAACAAACAAACAAGACCCATAGAAGTCATCCCTGTGGGGAAGGACCATCCCTGCGCCTGCCACTTCCCAGGACTTAGCAGCTCCTGCTGCCTAGCCTCCATTTGTGCCCCAGCCATCATTTCCTGACACCCTGAAAGCAACGCCAGGGTGGGCCTGGCAGGTACAAAAGCCAGTGAACTGCAATCTCTGCCCTCAAGCTGTCCAAGCCCACAGAGGAGAATCTTCTAAAAGGGAAGGTCCACTCAGCCTCAGTGGTAGGTGGCTCAGGCTGGGGCAGGGGGAGTGGATGCCAGCCTGAGGAACAGGAAATGTGGGCTTAGGTAGCTGGACCACCCTCACGGAACGTCCTTTCTAACTGGGGAGCAAGGTGTTAGTTACACCAGTGGTTCTCAACCTGAAGTCATCTTGCCTCCAAGGGACATTTGATAATTATCTGGAGACATTGTCATAATTGAGAGGGTGTTGCCTGCATCCAGTGAGAAGTCAGTGATGCTGCTAAAAAACATCCTGCAGTGCACAGAACAGCCTCCCTCAACTAAGATTATCCAGTCCAGCCCTAGCTGGTTTGGCTCAGTGGATAGAGCGTTGGCCTGTGGACTGAAGGGCCCCAGGTTTGATTCCAGTCAAGGGTATATACCTTGGTTACAGGCTCCTCCCTGGCCCCGGGCCCTGGACGGTTCTTGTGCAGGAGACAACCAATCGATGTGTTTCTCTCACTATACCTCAGTTACAGGCTCCTCCCTGGCCCGGGCCCTGGACGGTTCTCATGCAGGAGACAACCAATCGATGTGTTTCTCTCACATTGATGTTTCTTGCTGTCTTTCTCTCTTCCACTCTCTCTAAAAAGCAATGGGAAGATATCCTCAGGTGAAGATTTAAAAAAAAAAAAAAAAAGAATTATTCAGTCCAAAATGCCATAGTGCCACTGTTGAGAAACCCTGCATTAACCCAATAATCCCACTGTTACCATAGTGATCAGTGTGCTAAAGAAGACACATGTCAGTGCTAGGAGCATAACTAAGGTCTTGTCCGAGGCCTGGGTCAGGATGCCTTCCTAAAGTGAAGCTTGAAAGTGGGCCCTGAAAAGTGAGTAGCTTATTCCAAGAGAAGAGTTTGACATTATGTGACTTTTTTGATGTTTGCTTCATGATCCACTCACCCAAAGCAAAGAACTAGAGACTTTGGATGCCTCCTTTATCAGATGTCTCCCTTATCACTTGGCCCTCTGTCCCTTAGCTCAAGAGCCTCCTTCAGGGAGTACTTACTGGGTGACTAGTGCGTGCCTGAGTCTGTGGATGCCCGTGAGGGATGTAGGGCTGGCCCTTAGCCTAGTGCAGGGGACGGACCTTTATCGTATACTAATGACAGATACAGAGGTGTTCGTGGCAGCGGGGACACAGCAGCTCTGCCTGAGGGTTTATGGAAGGTTTCTCGGAGGAAATGTGGTCACAGAAAATTTTGAAGGCCTAGCAGGAAAAGGTGCACCAAGCAAAACCAACAGCATGTGTGGTTGGAACATGGCACTTGGGCAACTGCCAACAAGCAAGTGTAGCCACTGCCAAAGCCTGGGGGGAGTGTGAGGACCAGTGGAAAGGGTAGGCAGGTGTCAAAACAGACTTATCCTCAAGACCAGGGAGGCGCTCAGGGATTGTAAGCAGTGGAACGACGCGGAAACATGCTCCGAAGGCCAGAGTCCACTCGGGTTTAGTTGCACGCCAGCATGTACACAGGCTCCTGGCATGACCCTGTGCCTTTGGGATATCTTCTGTGTCCTCTGCAGAAAGCACTCAGCTTCAGCCTGGGGCTGGGGAAGGTCCGCAGGTGCCCTCTGGATGAGATTTGCCACCTTATACACCTGGTTTCAGGATCAGCTCCAACTCCTCCAAGTCTGTCCCATCCCCTGTCCTCTATCCTCGAGGTTAGGGGGATGATTTGTATAGATGGCCGATGTGGGCAAGTGAAAAACGCCTGAGAGGTAGTAGGGGGCTGCCCAAAGGCCGTAGGAGTGAAAGTTACGATTAGGTTCCTCAGGCAGTCCACAATGGGGTTTAGAGTGATGAACCTGCAGCCCTGAAGGAGCAGACCTGGTATGGACTGGGAGGAGGCAGACAGGAAGGAGTAACAACATGGTTAGAGACCTCCTGGAGTGCAGTGCAAACTGTCCTAAGGACAGTACCTCTAGGGACCTGGAGGTGACAGTTGGGTTGGACTTCGATGAATGATTATTGCTTCCTCAGGAAAGGGAGACGAGCATTACAGACTAAGGGACCAGATAAGTAAAAGTTATAGAGACAGAACATTTAGGCCTAAATCTTCTGATTTTCCCCAAATATCCATTCTCCTAAGAATTAAAACTGATGACTTTTAGGTGGGTACGCAGTAGACTGGAATAAACACTGCTTCCCTGCCTCCCTGGCAGCAGACGAGGTTTGTCCCGTGTGATGTAAGTAGAGAAGACAGGTGTCAGTTCTTAGGAACCTATATCTGAACTTTTTCTATCCTGAACTTTTTCTTCCACTTCCACCTTCTTCCTGGCTGGGATACAGAGGAAGTTGCCCAGCCATCTTTGACCATGTTAAGGACGGAACACGCCCAGCCGTAGTGGCTCAGTAGTTGAGCATTGACCTATGAACCAGGAGGTCACAGGCCTGGTCAGAGCATATGCTCAGGTTGCAGGCTCAATCCCTGATCATGCAGGAGGCAGCCAATCAATGATTCTCTCTCATCATTGATGTTTCTATCTTTCCCTCTCCCTCTCTGAAGTCAATAAAAACATTTTTTTTTAAAATTGATCGATATACCACGTTAAAAGAATGAAGGGGAAAAAAACCCATGATCATCTCAATTAATGCAGACAGTATTTGACAAAATTCAAAACCCTTTAAAAAAAAACCACACACTCAACAAGGAATAGAAGGAATCTACCTCCACCTAAAAAAAACCAAACTATATATGAAAATCCACAGCAAATATTATATTCAATAGAGAAAGACTTGAAGCCTTTCCATTAAGATCAGAAACAAGAAAAGGATGCCCACTTTCAGCCCTGGCTTGTTTGGCTCAGTGGATAGAGCATTGGCCTGTGGACTGAAGGGTCTCAGGTTTGATTCCGGTCAAGGGCACATGCCCAGGTTGTGGGTCGATCCCTAGTAGGGGATGTGCAAGAGGCAGCTGATCAATGATTCTCAACATTGATGTTTCTATCTCTCCCTCTCCCTTCCTCTCTGAAATCAATAAAATTATAAATATTTTTTTAAAAAAGGATGCCCACTTTCACAACTTCTATTTTACAGAATTTCTAGCTAGAGCAGTTGGTCAAGAAAGAGAATAAAAGGCATCCAAATTGGAAAGAAAGAAGTAATATCTTTTTGCACATGATAGGACCCTATATTTAGAAAACCCTAAAGATTTTACAAAAATCTGTTAGAACTAATAAAATTCAGCAAGTACCGGGCTACAAAGTCAACACACAGAAATCAGTTGCATTTCTATATGCTTAAAATGAACCATCTCAAAAGGAAATTATGGCCCTAGCCGGTTTTGCTCAGTGGATAGAGCATTGGCCTGCAGACCAAAGGATCCTAGGTTCGATTCCTGTCAAGGGCACGATATTTCCCTCACATTGATATTTCTCTCTGTCTTTCCCTCTCTCTTTCCCTCTCTCTAAAAACTTTGAGCCTGCTAGGCTCCTCCCTGGGTCCATCCTTGAAGGGTTGATTGGGCCACAGATGTATGCATGCCTAGGCAGGAGGAATGACCATGACTGGGAGCTGTTTGCATCAGCTCGAAATTATAGCTAATTTGCCTACAAACGCCAGGTGGTCATAATAATCTGGCCACTGTGTGTGTGTGTGTGTGTACTAGAGGCCCAGTGCACAAAATTCGTGCATGGGGTGGGTGTTCCTCAGCCCAGTCTGCACCCTCTCCAATCTGGGACCCCTCGAGGGATGTCCAACTGCTGGTTTCGGCCCAATCCCACAGGGATCCCTCTCACAATCCGGGACTGCTGGCTCCCAACCGCTCACCTGCCTGCCTGCCTGATTGCCCCTAACCACTCCCCTGCCAGCCTGATCGACACCTAACTGCTCCCCTGCTGGCCCGATTGCCCCCAACTACCCCCTGCCGGCCCGGTTGCCCCCAACTGCCCTCCCCTGTAGGCCTAGTCATGGTCACTCCTAACTGCTCTCCCCTGCCGGCCCGGTCGCCCCCAACTGCCCTTCCCTGCCGGCCTGGTCACCCCTAACTGCTCTCCCCTGCCGGCCATCTTGTGGTGGCCATCTTTGACCACGTGGGGGTGGCCATCTTGTGTGAGGGTGTCACAGTCAATATGCATATTACCTCTTTATTATATAGGATATTTTAAAAAGAATGGAACAGCAGTGAAATCATCAGAGCCTGGGTCCCTGACACCCAGCAGCCCTGACTGCCCACCTGAGGACTTGAGAGATAAGTTTTACTTAAGAAATAAGCTTCTAGGCCTTGGGTGGGTAGCTCAGTTAGATAGAATATCGTCCTGACACACCAAGGTTGTGGGTTTGCTCTCTTGTCAGGGCACATACAAGAATCAACCAATGAATGCATAAATAAGTGGAACAATGAATTGATGTTCCTCTCTCTTTCTCCCCTGCCCCCCTTCCTCTCTAAAAACCAATTTTTTAAAAAAAGAAAGAAGCACTAAACTTGTATGTTATTTAATCCCTTAGTGTTTGGGCTTTCTCTAAACCTAATCATAACTGCTACATATTCTATAATTCAATTTATATTGAAATGAAGTCAATCAATCTGAAGCTGAAAAAGTGAATTATTGCAGTTAGTAATTCCCAGCTAAGGAAGGCAGACTTTATCCCATTAGCAGTAAAAAAAAAAAAAAAAAAAAAAAAAAAAAATTTCTGAGCCAGAAGGTCAAACTGTATTTAGAAAATTCCCTCTGGCAGCAGGTTGGGGGAGAATTTGTAGAAGGGAGACGTGAAAGAAAAAATCAGAAATTCCCATGCTTCTGAATTTTATATA